GGCTTGTATTCTGGCAGCTTCGGAAACAGGAGGGCAAGCAGGCCTGGCAAAGGCACCCATTCCATTCCCAGCTTGCTCAGCAGCTGGCCACTGGGAGAGACTCTGCAACAGTGTTCAATCCCAGGACAGGAAGCCCTCTCTCCAGGATTCTCCTTTTGCTTGGATCTGAGAAAAAGAGAAATAAAATAAAATTTAAAAAAGAAGATGCTAGCAAGCTCTCACCAGAACATGAATTTAAATTGTTTTTCAAATGTTGGGCATGATTTGACCTGATCTCCTGTCCTTGCATTGGTTCCTCTTAAAACCAAAAGCGTGAGCTGGCTGGGTAGAGGTTCAGTTTCGGTCACTGAACAAAACCCCAAGCTATTTAAATTCAAACAGGATTGACACAGTTCTAGATTGGGTTAGGTATCCTGCCAGTGGAATCAACTTATCTTGGGTAAGTATGGAAAGATTGAAAGCTTGTGCATTTGACATAGCATATTTTAGCCACGGCCCTCAAAATATTTCAGAGACAGGCTTCACTCATATAAGGAATTAAGCACATGTAGTAATGAGATAATGTACCACTTAAGAGAAGATAAGGAAAGAGATATTAAAGCTAAATATATGTATAGTCTGTGACCACATTTCTACTCCTGGGTAAGTACCCAAGAAAAAGCATATGGAAAATACATGTACAAGCCGGGCGCGGTGGCTCACGCCTGTAATCCTAGCTCTCTGGGAGGCTGAGGCGGGCGGATTGCTCGAGGTCAGGAGTTCGAAACCAGCCTGAGCAAGAGCAAGACCCCGTCTCTACTATAAGTAGAAAGAAATTAATTGGCCAACTAATATATATATAAAATTAGCCGGGCATGGTGGCATATGCCTGTAGTCCCAGCTACTCGGGAGGCTGAGGCAGCAGGATGGCTTGAGCCCAGGAGTTTGAGGTTGCTGTGAGCGAGGCTGACGCTATGGCACTCACTCTAGCCTGGGCAACAAAGCGAGACTCTGTCTCAAAAAAAAAAAAAAAAATACATGTACAATATTGTTCATAGCAGCTTAGCTGCCTGCTATGCATATACCTGACATATAATAGGTGCTCAATAAATGTGTAAAATTGAATTGAACACATCTTTATATCCCACATGTGACTTCACAGGCCAAGTGACAAATACTAGTTGTGTCATCACTTAAAATTTCTAGCATATACTATAGATTAAATACTTTAAGCAAAACCATTTTATTAATAATTTCCATTTTAATCTATACTTAGATGATAAATTAATAAAATATACTATTAATAAAATATCAGATTGAGGTATTTAGGAATAATTTATTCAAGCTGAAGATAACTCTGCAGAAGGGCCCATTAACAAAGAAAGCACAGAGTTATAAGAAAATAAATTTTTAAAATGAACACTCAGCTGCTCCACTTACTGCCTTAGCTCCCAGAGCTGCTCTGATACTGTCTCACTTTAAAAGCACTTTCTTGCAAAGGTATTGGTTTTGGTCAGCCCAAAGTCTGGTAGTTGTGAAAATAAAGTTAATGATATAGAACAGCCCTGTCCAATGGAACATTCTGTGATGATGGAAATGTTCTATATCTGTGCTGTCCAGCACGGCAGCAATAGACATAGGTGGCTATTGAGCACTTGAAAAAGCAGCAGATGATGACAAAATGTGCCCAACAGAGCCCAGGAAATCCTAATATTTCATGCAACTGGAAGGAACAGAAAACAGATCTACAATTAAATGGCCCCAAATATTCCTAAACGTTTGCCCTCAGTCATTTTAGGTGGTCTAATATTTTCTTTCAAAACTTGTAAAGCAGTCACAGGCTCAAATTTTAAACCAACACGTCTGCAGATTTAGAGAAGTAACAAGTCCTTTAAGCCAAAGACTGTACTCAAACAACAGAAAACTGTGTCTTTGTGTTTGTTTTTTCTTTTTCCTTATAGCTAGCTAGGCACAAAATTAGTTCTGTTTTTTATTGCTGTTTGACAATGGTTATTGTCCAGACTTTTCTTACTGGCCCCATGTTAACCTACTTTTAAGTTTCAAGGCTACATACCTGGTTGACAGAGTTCAGCATGAATAGCAGTCACCAGGAAAAGAGGTCACAACATTCTTTCAGAGTGGAAAACAAAAGACAAACAAAAAGAAAAAAATCCACCCTGCACTTAAAGCTGCTTTAGCCATTCTGTGACCCGGATTAGAATATCAGAGAAACAAGTGACCGCCACCTAAAAGATTTAATGATTAACACCCATCACTTGGGCTAATATTTTCATAGTAGCCGCCCATCTCCTATCAGTTATTTATGGAAATCTACAGATAAGTTGTTTTTTCCCAGACTCAACCTCAAAAGAATGTTTCCTCTGCTGTCTCAAAGTTGGAATCCTCCCCCCACCCCTCCTGTGGTTGTCTGGTTAAGTGCACAGTAGAAAGCACTGAGTCCTCTCTGGAGGTTTCCTTGGCATGAACTTTCCACCTTTTCAGGGCCAAAATATCTGGTTCATAGATAGGCTATCTTAATTTAGGAAACAAACATGACTCCTTTCTATCTCTGAAAAACAAAGGATGTCTTCCAAGAATGGCCTCACCTGACTCTCACCACAGCAGGTAAACATCCAGGAGAGCTTCCACTTCAAACAAAGGGAATGGTTTTGTTCAGCGCCAAGGTCTGGCACTTGTGTAAAATCAAAGCTAATGGTAGAGAGCAGTGCTGTCCAATGGAACATTCTGTGATGATGGGAATGTCCTATGTCTGTGCTATCCAATATGGTAGCCGCTAGATACAGGTGGCTATTGAGCACTTGAAATGGGACTAGTGCTACTGAGAAACTGAATTTTCATTTAATTTAATTTAATTTCCTTTTTAAGTAGGCATGTGTGGCTAGTGACTACATTGGTCAGTGCAGGAATACAATGGTGATTAAGGGCTACCTACCCTGAACTAGGCTCACTGGATTATTTCTCTAATCCTCAAGACAACACTTCACAGTCGTTGTTGTTATAATCCCCTCACATGGGAGGGAACTGAGGCTCCCGTGTTGAAGTCTTTGGCAGCAGCGGATGAATGGAACGGGTGTCACTTTACCAGCTAGGCTGACTTACACTTGAACCCTGTCTCCACCACACCGAACTGCGTGGTGTCTCTGGTCATCACTGGTAAAAACTGAAATCGCAACAAAACCTCAGAGGTGCTCTGAGGATTAAGATGATGAGTGTAAAAGAACCTTCCTCCTGGTGGGCACTCCACAGACGCCAATAGACGCCCCCCCCCCACAAGAGGGTCGGCAGCAGGGCTTTGCTCACTACCGTGCTGCCTCCTCATGAATTCAGTCCCCAAATTCCACCTCGTTCCTGGGAAGTCATGAATGGCAGAATTACACTGGGTGAGCCTGATGTTAAATATTTAGTAGAAACATTGGATATTTTAAGCAACCATGAGGAAAATATCAACAATGACACTTCTGCAGCACTTTGAGAGACATATCTTTCCCCCTCCTAGTAAAGATGGCATTTTATGGTAAAGGACTCATTTCTGTTAGCTAAATCCACCTGAGGAAGCTTTTTCTCATCTCCTTCACCTTGGTTGCAAAAACACTGAGTCAGGAAAAGCTGTACTAGAGGGAGAGGCAGCCAGAAGTTAGCCCAGCCATTCCAGCAATTTCACTATTAGGTGAATGGAAATTTCCAGAAGAGAGAGCTCACTTAACTAACCCCTAAAAAACCTGTCAGACTAGATGAAGTGACCTTGGGAAATGTTAGACTAGATAAAGTCCTCATGGGAAGGAAAAGTCAATACACATAGAGATATAGATTGTAACAAAGTATTTTATTTGTATTAAGAAACAAAGCCATGTTAGAGACACAGAAATCTGATTCAGCATTCTTTTAACCTTACACTTTGCAAAAGTATCAAATGTCTCTCTCTTTTACTTATTTATGTGACAAGGATTAAAGACAATAAATTTTAGTCAGTGTAAGCCATTCATTTGAGAAGAGAAGAAAATCTCTTCTCTTTTGAATTATGATTTCTTAATGTTTGTTGTATCATCTTTTTTAAAAGAGCAATAGAAATTCTTGGTAAAAAATACAAAGGAACAAGAAGAGAAAAGTAGAAATCACCTGTAATTCCACTGGCATCAATGAATGACCAATGTTAATGTTTTCTAAATATTTGGAACATGCCATTCTTAGCCTTGTGTTTTCTTTTGTGTGTATGTGTGTAAATACAGATACAATTCTTTTTAAAAACAAAACTGGGATCATACTAGTATGCAGCTTTGTCATCTTATTTCTTGAACTTAATGTATTTTAAATGTATTTCCACCTCTTCCTCTATAATATAATTTTTAATGATTGTCTAATATTCATTGTGTGGAATCTATCATATGCTTTTAAATTTAATTTCTTATTTTTTTTCTTCACTATAACAAGCAATGCTACAATAATAAATATTCTGGGACCTAACAATTTTTTATTCATTTTCATTAATATCTTTGGTATAAATGTAGATTTTGGAGTCAAAGGGTATGCAAAAATATAAAGTTTTAATACGTGTTAATTTCCTTTCAAAGAGGTTATGTCAGTGTACATACATACTTTTTGGAGTATGTGAGTGTCCATTTTCCAGAAACCTACACCAGATATTATTGGTTCTGAAAACTCTTTTGGCAAAGCAAATGGTACAGCAGTATATAAATACTGCTTTGTTGTTTTGTTTCTTTGTTTCATAGTAAAGCTGGCCATTTGTATTTTGTGTTTTGTAAATTGCTTATTTGATCCTTTGCCCTTTTCTCTGCCTTGAAGTACTCATTGTTCTCAAATTTGTGTGTGCACATTCTTTGCCAGTTTATAGTTCCCCTTTCAATTTGATAAATGCTTATTCTCTTGCATTTTTCTGGAAAGCAATCCTATATTTCATGTCATCTATACATACTTTTAAGTTTATCTCCTACTTTTGAACAGTAATACCTAGCTGTTTCTGTTGTTGTTTTGTCTCATTATAGTGGCACTGTCAGAACAGGGTGACATAATGGTGGAAAAACATGGAAATTTGTCTTCTTCCTTACTATAATGAGAAGGTTTCTCCTCCACAGAATCTGGTAAGTCACTGTAAAATATGATGTATTTTGTGATAAAAGTATCCTTCTATTCCTAGTTTTATTATTTTTAAGAGAAAAAAATTTTATCAGTTATTGATTTTGAAATTTAACTATCTTGTCAGTATCTATTACTGTGATTATTGGGTTTTATATCATTTGGTGCTTTACACTAATAAACCTCTTTATATTGATCCAACTCTTAGATAAACTATTTTTATTTTGATTATTCTTTATTTTGATTTTGATTATTTTGTATTATTTTTAACAAGTTACTGGACTTATTTTGCCACTTTTATCCCTAGAATTTTTAGATCAACCAACCTTCCTTCCTTCCTTTCTTTCTGTTTATTTTTTTGAGATGGTCTCACCTTGTCACCTGGGCTAGAGTGCAGTGGCATTATCATAGCTCACTCCAATCTCAAAATCCTGGGCTCAGGCGATCCTCCTGCCTCAGCCTGCCGAGTAGCTGGGACTACAGGCACGTGCCACCATGCCCGGATAATTTTTCTATGTTTAGTAGAGACGGTGTCTTGCTCTTGCTCAGGCTGGTCTCGAACTCCTGAGCTCAAGTGATCCTCTGACCTTGGCCTCCCAGAGTGCTAGGATTAATAGTATTACAGGCTTGAGTCACCACACTGTAGCTTTTTTTTTAAGCTCACCATAGCTTCAAACTCTTGGGCTCAAGAGATACTCCTGCCTAAGCCTCCCAAAGTGCTAAGATTATAGGTGTGAGCAACCATACTCAGGTAGATCTATTAATATTTTCATTTGAATAATTGCATGTAAGTTTCTTTTCACGAGCTAATTCTTGAAGTTTTTTTTCCATTATATTACCTTAAACATGGTATAGAAATATTTCTAGCATTTTCTGTTTTGAAATGCTTTAGAAAGCATAAGAAATAAAAACTTTATAGGTAAATAATCTGGACTATGCATTTGGGGGGAGAAAAGTTCTCTGAAAACTTTCCATTTCTTCCACTGTTATTCATTTCGGATTTCATGCTTCTTTCTCAATCCATTTAGACTCTTTATAGTTTCTAAGAGAATCATTTAATTCATTCATATTTTCCAGTATTCCATGAGCTTTATAGAATATTTCTGATAAAATACCTACAGTTGTTGCTATGTTCTCTTTATATTTCCTAGTGAGTTCATTCATTTTTTTTGTTTTCCATTTTTCAGAGAACATGCTCTCGGATTAATTTTCATTCCTATTCTTTCTATTTTCTGATTCACCTGTCTTAGTTACATGTATTAACTCCTTTTTCCAGTTGTTGTTATACTTGTTTTCCTGTTCTTTTTATAATTCTTGAGTTGACTAAGAAGCTCATTTATAAAGTTCTTAATAATGAAAACATCTGTGGCTATGAATTTTCCTCTGGGTATCACTCTGGCCACATGACATGAGAAATATAGATATACAATTATCTCATTAATTTTCAGGTAGTATATAATTATAGTTTTCATTTTTTTCTATAACCAAATAATTACTTTAAAAAGTATTTTCTAAATGTCTAAGTCCTTTTCAGATTTAACTATAAATATATATGTATATGTCATACTTTAAGTAGTATTTTTGTTAATCTCAAGCACATTAATGTATTTCTAATCTTAGAATTTATAAGAGGAAGTTTATACAGTTTATCCATTAATCCTAAATATATTTTATAAATAACTTCGAATAAGCATCTGACAATACTCTTTTTAAAGGAGTTATGAAAGTATATTGCACTGTAAAATTTCTGTTTATATAATAAAAGCATTATCTGTGACTTTCATATTGCTTTAAAGCAGATCTAGCATACTATTAAAAATTATGAAATAGGCTGTGCCCAGTGGTTCACGCCTGTAATCCTAGCACTCTGGGAGGCCGAGGCAGGCAGATCACTCAAGGTCAGGAGTTGGAAACCAGCCTGAGCAAGAGCGAGACCCCGTCTCTACTATAAATAGAAAGAAATTAATTGGCCAACTAAAAATATATAGAAAAAATTAGCTGGGCATGGTGGTGCATGCCTGTAGTACCAGCTACTCAGAAGGCTGAGGCAGAAGGATTGCTCAAGCCCAGGAGTTTGAGGTTGCTGTAAGCTAGGCTGACTCCATGGCACTCTAGCCTCAGCAATATAGTGAGACTCTGTCTCAAAAAAAAAAAAGTATGGAATAGAAACTTTCTTAAGGTAATAAGATTTTTATATCAGGATAAAGCAAATTCCTGCCCTTGGATTGATGTGCTCATATGTTTAGATTTGACAACAGCAAAAGCAATTGCTTAATGTGCTGCCCAAGGTGACAAGATTCAAAATAATGACTTTTTATAAGTCCTGTCAGGTAAATAAAAAGACAAAAGCTGAAATAACAAATATGAGACACTGCCAACAACTTTTCAAATATGAAGACACTACAAGTTTCATGTCACATAGAAAGTGCTGAAAATGAGGCCGGGCACAGTGGCTCACACCTGTAATCCTAAATCTTAGCACTCTGTGAGGCTGAGGCAGGAGGATTGCTTGAGCTCAGGAGTTCAAGACCAGTCTCAGCAAGAGTGAGACCCCATCTCCACTAAAAAAAAAAGAAAAAATTAGCTGAGCGTCGTGGCACACTCCTATAGTCCTGGCTGCTCAGGAGGCTGAGGCAGGAGGATTGCTTGAGCCCAGGAGTTTGAAGTCGCAGTGAGCCATGATGACACCACTGCACTCTAGCCAGGGCGACAGAGCAAGACTCTGTCTCAAAAAAGGAAAGGAAAAAAAAAGGTACTGAAAAGGAATTCATTGTTGAATAGCTTGGTGGAGATGTCAATAAAATAGAAAACAGAACTAGATACAAGGGTTCTTGCCTCTCAGCATACTATTTTTATTTTCTTACACTTTTCAAAATCTTGCACAAATTTAGTGTTTGCCTTGATGTGCAAGTTTTAAGTAGTAAACTTCCAGAGGATTTATATCCGTGTAACTTGTTTCATAAACTGCTCATTTCAGCAGTTTCACATATGGGGAGCTTAATAACTTATTAGTAACCATGGTAATGATGGCAAATAAAGCAGTTTCAATCATTGTGAATTTGTTACTATTTACTTCTAAATGTTCAGAGTTTAGAGAATGTAGATTAAAAGTTCAGATTACTGTTGCCATGAGCAACGCAAAAGGGCACCGAGTCTCCTGAGACAGAAAAAAGAAAGTGATTTCTTTGTGTTTTTTATACTCCGCGACACTATTAAAAAGCAGTTTCTGGGCACATAGTTATTGATCTACTGCTCTGGGGTAAATAAAATACAAGATCACATGAAAAGAAAACACATGTGTTGTTCTTTTGATTCATGCAAGATGCCTTTTAAAGTTCATCAGAGTCATAAAAGCATATGGTGATATGTAGGCTCCATTTACCTGCAATAAAGCACGAGGTAGAGAAAGAAGGTGGATGTTCCTTTTAAATTTTTACCCCGATTATTCTGTTTGATTATCACAAACAGGAATTTAGTAAACATATAGCACCTGTAAGTAGTATAGTAAACCATGAAACCAGTTCAAATGTGACATTACTCTGTAAATTTTTATTGAGTTTTAGGAAATGTATCTGGCTGTGACACATTAAAAGAAATCAAATAAAACCTTTAATGGCTCAATATGGAAACCTTTTGTAAGATTAAAACCTTGCACTTTTAAAACTAGCATCTAAATTATTTGGCACTACTCAGTAATTTTTCAGAGTAGAAGTTGCAGATTTTCAAACAAATGTGACCCTTCATAATTTAATTTGAATGAAATTGATATGTCTACAGAATAAACAACTTCAAGAGGTTTATAATAATTAGCCCAATATTTTCTGAATAATTAAGAGGTAAAGAAATGATTGTACTCTCTTTAAGCTATCATCAGGCTAAGATACACATGGAGATAAAAGATTTTTGCCTCATTTGCAAACTTAATCTATTTTAACCTAGTGATTCTCAACCAGGGGCAATTTTGCCCCCCAGAGAACATTTGCCAATGTCTGGAGACATTTTTAGTTGTCACAACTACAGTGGGCAGCGATGAGGGTGCCACTGGCATCTAGTGGGTAGAGACCGGGGAAGCTGCTAAACATCCTGCAATGCACAGGACAGCGCCCATGACAGAGTTATCCAGCCCCGAATGTCAATAGTACTGAGGTGGAGAAACTCTGTTTTACCCTAATGGTGCCACTTTCATTGTGTAGATTGTTTTGGATAAGGGACAATGTATTCCTTCCTAAGTTCCCAAATAGTTGTTAGAAATAACAACTTAGGATCTGGTATGTTTGATGCTGACACCATGGTTAATTGGGATCACTACTTTTATTGTTCACATGTATAAATAAATCAGTCATATCCTGAGGAAAACTTCCTAACTATAGAATTAGTGAGTTTTCTCTGCTTAGTGAGTTTTCTACCTGCTTAGGTGACAATGATCAAGTTCAGTCTTGACTGCTGCATAGAAGCTTCTCATCTCAGGACTGCACAGTCTACCTTGAAGAGTTCTCAACTTGGACATGTTTGGCTTGCCTTGAAAAGAATGCAAAGAATTTGCTTTTAACCTTTTACACTGCTCGTCCTGTCTCAGCCTTCCAAGTAGCTGGGACTACAGGTGTGTGCCACAATGCCCAGCTAATTTTTCTATGTTTAGTAGAGACAGGGGTCTCACTCTTGCTCAGGCTGGTCTCAAACTCCTAAGCTTAAGCGATCCTCCCGCCTCAGTCTCCCAGAGTGCTAGGATTACAGGCATGAGCTACTGCGGCTTGCCTGAAGTTTTACTTTGACTTGAGTCTTTTCTCTTTTAAAACTGTCTTTTACTCTATGGTTAGCACAGCATTTTGGTATATTCTTATGAAGGTTCCCCCAATATTATCACCATCAGCCTAACTTATCAATTTATAAATTTCTTCTCTTTTTGTTTCCTTTTATTAATTCCCATTCTCTTTATTTGGGGTTATTTCTGTTAACTCAACTAATAAAAAGGAAGAAATTGCTAGTTAAAGGCCTAAATAGTGTT